CTTTGCATTATGTGCAGCATCTGATTTCATTTCAGGATAATTGTAAGAACAGGCTGAGTAGCGAAGATTTTAAGGCCAAAATAAATGGAAAAGCAAGAGGAAAAAAATCCTATCTAGCTTCATTATGATTTGAAAAAGACATCCCGACCCTAAAGATTTCTTTATTGTGTTTGAAATAATTAATCACTTAGTTTGCAGCGATCAATTTTCAGACATTTAATTTCATTTTCATGCGTGTCGTGTATAATTTGTTATGTGTAAACTAGAACAAAACCACGCTTCAAATCACATTTTCCTTGCCTTCACCGAACATCTCTATCACACATTACGTTTTACAACAATAAGCTTTTAGTTAGCAAGCACCTCCAAGACACAAGTTAAAAACGTAATAAATTAAATCAACAAGCGCACAGGCTTGCCACGTACTGGGAGAAGGCAACACCTCACAGTAGACGTTGTGTCTTCATTTAACGGGTACGAAAGCAGACTTCTGTGCTGCCTTTGTCTGCACGGCCCTCCCGTGCTGGGACAGGTCTTCACATTTGAAGTCTCACTTCACTTGATCTTCATTGAATATTTTAGAATTCAAAGAATTTATCTAAATGGTGGCTGTGGAAGCCACCATCACTGGCTGTATCTCAAGGCCACCCATGCAGAAAAAGAACCTCCTTCAACCATACGCCTGTGATGCCAGGAAACCAAGTAAGTTTCCTCTACGTGTGGGCGGCGCAAAGCAGGAAGCGTATGGAATCTGGCCCTATACCCATGCCCATCTTCCCTATGACATTAACTGACGCGTCTGTGTAAATTATTACCGTAGCGTCCGTGTAAACTATTACCGTATTCTGTAGCGGCAATCTCTTCGACCGAATGTGACAGTCAGCTCAGCCAGAGAGCCTGGCACAGAGCTAACCCGTAGTTAAATGCTGGCTGGGCCAGGGCCAGAATCTGCAAAGTCTCTTCTAATGTTTAAAGTACCGAAGCATAGTACCTAATGATCAATGCAGAATGTTGTTCAGTGTTCCTATTTAAGGAAAAGAGCCTCTAAAAGCCCAAGAGAATAGTTTCATAAGCATCTACCCATTATCTGTGGCTCAGCCCAGGGGTCTCTCGCCCCCGAGGCCTCTTGTAATATCCGTTTTCTGGATGAATGTGCGAGTGAGCGAGCGAGTCTGCCTCTGTGACCTCGCTGGAGAAATGGTGGACAGAGACCTGACCTCCGTTTTATCTGACTTCAAAGTCGTGGGGTTTCTGCTACTCTCTGAGCTTCCAATTGCTTAACACTGTTGGGCAACCAGTCAAGAGAAGGGCCCATTCTTTCTAGTGAAAGATGTAGGGACCCACTCGTTGGAGACGGAATGAGTAGGCCGTTCCTTCATGTTTAAACCTAAAGGGACCAAATGGAATAATAAAAAATAAAGAGGCACCTGGAAAGAAGCAACCAGCCTCAATATCAGACATTCCATATTGAAATGCAAAGAAGAAATAAATTCTGGAAGTGTAGGCGAGAACTGGAATAAGATGGAAACAAACAAAAAAGTGAAACAGATCACCTGACCCAGCACACCACCTACACCAGCCTTTCTCAAAGGTTGCACATCGCTTCTCAGACAACCAGGGTCGGGTAAACCAGGAAAGGTCTCTGAACCCGACAGGTCCTTTTATCGTAGGTGGTGCTCTTCAGTCCAGTCTTTATCCCACTTTATGCAAATATTCACGCATTTCACTGCAGAGGTAAAACTGCGTTGAATTATGAGGGCCTAGCCCTAGGAAGTCACCAGTGTGAGTGAGTGTGTGTGTGTGAGTGTGTGTGAGTGCAAGTGTATGTGTGTGTGTGTGTGTAACATGCAATCCGTCACCTTCTGAGATCTGTAGAATTCTGAATTTTGAAACATCCTACCCCAAGGGTTTTGGATAAGAGACTGTGGACTGGACGCTATGTACACCCAGTGTCTGTGTATAAATGTATAAAATTGCTTCAGAGGACATTAGTTAGAAGTTAGAACGACACAATGATCTTTACTTTCTTATTTAATTTACTCCATATTTCTGAAACTTTCATGTGGAACATGTTCGTTTATAACAGAAGGGAAAGGAAAACCTCCCTCCCTCTTCACCGCCTCCACCCGCAGGGCTGGACGGCTTTCCAGAGACTGTCCCGCAACATGCAACATGCAACACGAGCGGGCAGTGCCGCACCAGCACACGAAGGGTGTCTGGGGTCACTGACCCTCCCAATGATGCATCGCCATTCTGCGAAAAGAGGGGGTTTCTTAAGCCCAGGGCACCCAGTGGCTGCCAATTCACCGCTGAGTATACCCAAGCTCTCTGCAGTTTTCAGTGTTTCAAAGAACTTGAGAAATAATCTGCCAGCGATCTACATCCAGCCTGTGCATTTCCAGCTCTTCCCTTTGAGGGGGAAGAAAAGAAGAAGGAAAAAAAGATAAAAGCATCCTCAACCCAAACCACAATGCCCTGCAGCCAGAGACTGCAAACAGGAAATGCCAGGCTGATGGAGAAATCTTCGCTGGGCTTCACCGGCTCTGAAGCAATGCTGCCCTCGACCTGTTGGGGGCGCTCGAGCTCTGAGGCAAGCTCTGCTCTGCAGAGGCTCAGGGACCACGGACACCAGAGGCAGAGGGTCCTTCTGGGCCCCGCCTACTGATCTCAAACAGGGTTCACATCTATTTTCTAAAACTACTGCTCCACGGGGGTCTTGGGGCCAGTCGTTTCCCTCTGCCCATGGAGAATATTTCCACCCACGGGTACTCCTTCCCCGCCCCGCTCTGCGGTTTGGTGATTGAACAGAGGCAATGGGCTGACTCCCGGCCTTGCCAGCATCGCAGGCCATGCCGGCCCGACACTGGAATCAGAGCAGCCCAGGCAATGGCCTCACTGCTTTCCTTGAAAAGGTTAAAGGAAGGACGGGAAATAATTTCCATATTGTGTTAATCGCATGAATAACAAAACATACTTAGTTTTCCTTTTTTTTTTTTAAAGACAAGGAAGCTGCATTGTAAAGAAAGCCTCCTTCATCAATACATTAACTATACAAGGGCATTCAAAGCAGAAAACCAGAAGATAGGAAGGCCTGGAAACAAGGAATAGCCTCTGCTTCAGTAAAACAATGCTGTGTCCGCAGACGGCTGACTAGGAAGGCATCCTTAACTGAGGCAGCGTGGGTTCAGCGAGGCTGGTGAGCCAACGAAAGGAGTATTTATAATAATGGTATAAGATGCTAAGCCACCTAGCATCTACCCCCAACCAAAAGCCATGCACTTAAAACCTTGACACCAAAACCTTGTAAACATCATCGATGAACCAGATCATGTCCACCATCCTGTGGCTTCTCCCCACTGAGAGGTGTTCCCCGGCCACACTCCACAGGCCACTTCTGGGAGGAAACAGCTCACCACTTCACCTTTGCGAGATGCTGACCACAGAAAGCGCTCTGACTAGAGGGAGAAATCCCAGCGAAAGGAAGAGAGACTACAGACTGCTGGTGAAGGAAGAGCAGAGAAGTGAGGTTGGGATTTAGGCTCGTGTGGCGTGAAGGGACCTGCCGTGTGGGGAAGAGTGGGAATGGATTGGTCTGGGAAACATGGAAGCGATGACTCTTGGCTTAAGCCAAACAGACGGGGTCTCCTGGAAATGAAAGGTTGGCGAGATATCCCTGGGAAAAGAGCGACCTTGGGGAAAACAGCTTCCTGCCCAGCCAGCCCTCACCAGTTACCACCAAAGGGAATTGTCAGTCTGCTGTCACTGCCTTTCTTCCCACCGCACCTCCCTTAGAGCTATGCCACCAGCAAAGAGGCAGGTGAAATGAGAGGGCCCTTCTGAATAGAGACTGAAATAATGTAAGATTTACAGGAATATCATGAATTTATCAGAAACCCCCAAAGGACAGAAATACGTATGTGCTAAGATCAAAATGATCCTTTGAGAGTTTTTAAAAATAAGACATATTCTATCTTCAACTTTTCTTTAAGATTCATTGTCACTTTAAGACTAAGTCAATGGCCTAAATCACAATTAGAGTTAAACTGCAGGAAGACAGATACATACACACGTATATTTATCCAGCACAATAGGGGAGAAATATTCTGATGTGTCAACTATTCGGGTTAACGTTCTACAGAAAAGGTTTCGTTTTCCCAAGATTCTCTCGTGATGCCACAGTGCCTATCGGGGTCAAGGCATCGAGTGTGAGATCTGGATCCTTACAGGAGGCCAAGGCACACTAGCGAGAGATGGGGGAGGGAAAGGACAGACACAGCTCCAGCTCCTCCTCCTCCGCTTCCTCCTTCTCCTCCGGAAAAGGCAGGGGAAAGCATGGGAGAGCTTTTTCTGGGGCACCTCCCAACCTCCCTGTGCTCCTGCCTCTCGGGACTCCGGAGAAATGAGACCCGATTGAATCAGCTCACAGAGCAGACCTTTCTCAGTGTGGCACAGTGTGAGGCTGGTGGGCACAACCTGGGTGTGCCCAGACAGTTCCGCCTGGTGACCAGGTCCCCACCCCCAACTCTGCGTCTCCTCCCAGGGTCAGCAGCTGCAGTGCCCAGGCCTTAGCGATGCTTTGGAAACCCCAGATTCCCTGAACCTCAAAATCTTCTTCTCAGTAGCGGGTTATAAGGATGAGGGGCACTGGGAGAGGTTAATTAATTTGTAAATCCGGGATCGAAATGCATGGTCATCTGCACACACGTGAGATGGAACGTGTGTGTCCGATACAGAAAGTGTCAACACTCCTTCAACCAATGAAAAGGAAAAAGCTGCTAAAAGTCATCCAAGACAGAGACAAAACAGTGGTAGGAGGTGGAAGGAATTCAGGTCAACCTGCTCCTCTCCAACTCTACAAATCTACCCGCTATCAGCTGGGCGGGAGGTACAAATTCCAGGAGCCTCACCATGGCATTTCTTTACTTGTGACTCCATACTTAGGACTCAAAAGCTGTTTGGCTGTAATTAATTAAAAAAAAATCACTTATGAAATGGCTTACCAGATTTTTCAGCAGGGTGGACAGTTCCTTTGTAAGAGTAGAAAATTTGACGAAAGCGGTGCCAAGATCTGGGTTGTCTCGACTTAAAAAATTACTCCCGAACTTATCCAGAACTTGGGCATAGTTTTCTTCATTTTGTACATGGTCTGAAAAAGAAGAAGACAGAGGAGCCTGAGCTGTTGTTTGCCACAGAACCGAGCTGTTGTGAACAGTGATTGATCACTGGGAACTGCCAGCAGCAGGGAGAAACGCCATCTATTATTAACCGCACACGTCCAGGAGGTGGTTAGCGGGGCACTGAGTGTTCTCACAATGGAAAGAGGTCTCCCTTTCGCCATCAAAGCATTTAGTTCACTTCTATCCCCATCAATCCATGGACTCCCCACAGGTTGAGGGGTCAAGTAATCATCATACTTTCAAGCAATTAAGAAACTACGATGATCAGGAAACGAGAAAATTCTGCTTAGAAAAATCAACCCTGGAATGCCAAAGCCAAGTCCTCGTGTTCTAACATGAATCTCCCTGCAACTAATGTTACTCTCCTTTCATGGTTTCCGAGCGCTGGCCCTGAGGTGTAGCCCTGGTAAGTGACGTGCTAGGGGCCTGCACACCCAGCGCCCGTGGGCAGGAGTCCTGCAGCACGGGAGGGGCTGGCACGGCCCAGGGCTGTACGTGGAGGTGATGGCAGCACGTGCCCGTGGGAGCGCTCCAGATGCCATGCTCACTCTCCACGTCTCTCCTCCTGCCGCGAGGACAGGGGCATGAATTTGTACAGAGGCCCACGGGAGATGCGTAATGTCTACTGGATGAATAAATGAACAGATATGTACCTAACTACTAAGACCCTGTCTTTAAAGGCTTATAAATTCAACACCTTTCTCGTTATAAAGCCTTTCCCTGAGTGGGCCGTGAGCCTTCCTTGTCCACGATCCCCTGAGCCTCCTCAGTGGTGTTTCCCGCCGTGTCGTATCTTGTTTGTGTGAGTGGAGCTCTTCCCAGCCCCGGACTGAGAGAGGCAGAATGGCCTCCGGCTCACCTCGGCGTCCCCGCCCAACAGCCAGCGCCGTGGGTTTTCCGTGGGAGGCCCAGGAAGCGCCGGCTGGCTTGGATTTGCTGATTTCCTTTTCAGGAATTTAAGACACATTCCCTTCTTAAGCCTCCTAGGTTGTTTGATAATCCAGATGAAATTTTAAAGTATTTCACTCTCATCCAGCCGGTGTGGCTCAGTGCCTGAGCATCCACCCATGAACCAAGAGGTCCCCAGTTAGATACCCGGTCAGGACACATGCCCGGGTTGCTGGCTCAATCCCAGTAGGGGATGCAGGAGGCAGCTGATCAATGTCTCTCTCTTATCGATGTTTCTATGTCTTTGCCCTCTCCCTCCTTCCTCTCTAAAATCAATAAAATTTTAAAAATATTTTACTCTTGAAGACCCCCGTCTGTCACAGCGTGAGGGCGACGGGCACTGGAGAAGCGGAACACGGTCTGCGCCGGGAAATGGAGCGCGGCCGCAGCCTCCCGATCAGCAGCACATTAGACATTCACGGCGCCTACAGTGGAGGCCAGCATTTCGGGCTGAGACAGTACAGAGAAGACGCAGCCCTGCTTGCTGCCGGCGTTCACACCAAGGAAAGGCCA